TACTACTACTACTATTAATAATGATAATAATATTTTTTTAAACTCAGGCTAGCAACATCAGTATCAATACTGCTGTCCTGCGGGCCCTGCATTTATCATTACCCCATCAATTGCCAGGTACCCATTTATACACCTGGGTGGAGAGTGGTAAATGTGAATTAATGCCTTGCCAAAGGACGTTAGTGCCGGGCTCTAGATTGGTTTGGTTTCATTTTCCGTTTAAACAAACATATTACATGCCCATGAACATAAACAAATATAATTATTTAAAATAAATACGGATGAATAGCTCTATTAAGGACCGTTAAATTATTGAATGGCTCTGATCTTCCTAGAGGTCCAGATTGAGAGGGTTTTTGTCATAATATCTTAGTAATTTTATCTTTGAATGTATTCTTGCAAGTGTTATGTAATCATTGTTTTAACATTGCTATTCATTACATGTGCTTTTATTGTAAAAATGAATGTAATTCAGCCCCCATGCTGCCATTTTCAGTTTGCTCAATAAACCATTCAATTTAATTCAATGAGTAACGTGAATGACTTACGATACCCCCACAATGAAAGACCGTTAAAGTAATTTAAGATAAGTGCTTTTACCGCCTATCAAGAATTAGGAAAGTTAAATTTCTCTTCTTCCCTGTGTACCATGTCACTTATCGGACATGGATATTCTTTGGAAAAATAAAAAGGACAAGTTGTCGATGTTGAAGTAGACGATAGCGTTCATCATCTTGACCGAGTAGCTTAGCACGATTTAATCAACTTCATGAATTCTGTATGGTAGAAAAGGAGAAAAAATATGCAGTGAATGAAAAGAAACCAGACAACGCAAAGCGTAGGATCCCCTCACCAAAAATGGCCTATATACGTCAGAGCAAGGTACCTCTATTTAGATAGTCTATATTATATCCTGCATCATAAATTTGTTGGCTTTTGATTAGTTGAGAGCTCGTCACATGACCAGAAATCTTTGAAATATTTTTAGAAAGTACTATATGAGAGTACTATTTGGGTTTACTATTTGGGAGTTGAAATTTTTTTTTTTTTTTTTCTGTTATAAAATAATTTTTGGATGCAAGATATAAAACAAATATACCATGTCTCTATTCGAGGTACTGGTTAAAACTATGGGCCTCGGTGACTCCAAAAGTACCATTTGCTTCGGGGCTGCGCCCTCAGCAAATCGTACTATTGGAGTCACCTCTTGCGCATAGTTTTAACCAGAACCTCTCAAGACAGTGTATATTTGTATACTATTTTACTGCAGCTATTTCTGATGTACATAATTAGGCTATGTTTTGATACCATGATGTACCTTCATATCAAATTTTATCAAAATCCGTCAAACGTTACTAAAGTTATCGAACGGAAACCAGATTTGTTACAGAGGGAAGGACGAACGGACGGACGCAGGGGTAAATAAGGCTATCTCCAAACGTTTTCTCGCCTACGTCTCGCGAATATGCGAATGGTAACGCAATACACATATGAAAAGTATGGCATTTCAAGCTTTCAGGAGTTCAGGATGTGAATTTTGGTTCTGGCAGTCTACGCGGCAAAGCAATAAATGTAATGTTGCATTGACTTTATCCCTGGAAAATGAGAAAACACTACTTATGACTGCTGCTAATACTATCTAAAAACCTATAGTATTGAACAAAAACACAGACTAGAAAAAATTCAACTGCACACGATTGAGAATTATGCCTCTGCCTCTGATTGAATATCCCTCAAGTGCAATATCTCTTTCACATGACATAACTGTTGACCTGGCAATCCGAAATCATATTGAGACTGTGCGTTGTTCATAAGGTCTACTAAGGTACATATCAGGTTCGATATTTACCTAAGATGGCCTTGAATCTTCGACCTTATCATCACAATTATTGCGTGTACAGTGCTTTTCATGAAAAATTTGTTGACCTTTGAACTTGCTCTGCCCCCCTTTAAAGACCGTCAATACTACTGGGTCAGAGGGGATTAGACCACACAGCGAGGTTACTGACAGGTGGCTATCTCATTAACTCAGCTCTCAACTAACATAAGAAAAAGAGGATCATGGGGGAACAACAGGCACCGATTGGGGAAGTTTTCTATCTAGAGGGAGCAAGTAGCTACAAGTAGGACAGTGGGGCTGTAAGAGATGTACCTTGGGTTTGAATTTGGTGATCCTACCTCGAATCTATGAATATTTATTGCGAATACAGCATGATTGTAGACGACAACTACGACGCCGAATATAGTGACTCCTATGTCTCGCTCTACTACTCAGGCGAGACAAAATGACGTCGAAGGAGAACTACTATTAATATTTTGATGATTACAGGTAAAGTCGAGTACTAATAATACGATTTAACTGTGAAATAAACATGTTTAGGACCAATTATGGAGGGTTCATGATTGTATGATAAGAATCTTGTTATACCGTCAGCTGACTGAGGTTTTGACATTGGGGGAAAGGGACGAAAAAAGAAGACGCCTGGGCCCCTCCCACACCCTTCCTCTGATCAGCAGCCTTTCAAATTCGTATTTAATTTTAAAGAACAAGTCCACTCGAAAATAACTTACTTTCAATAAATGCAGAAAAATCAGACAAACCAATCAAAAAAAGTTTGAGCAAAATCGGATAACTAATAAGAAAGTTATGAATTTTTAAAAAGTATGTAAAAGTATGGAAGTATGGAACAATGAGAATCACAACACAAATTGCCAAGATGGTTATCAGTTTGTGACGTCATATCCTCACTATTTATCAATTGCTCTATATGGTTTAATCCCATTAATTTCCCTTTTATTTCACCAAAACTTATTTGCCCAGGTTATATGATTTGTATCATATTGCGTGCATGACATTTCACAAAATCTTCTATGAACTCTGAAGAATTTATACTATTTTCTGAATATTGTATATTCACAATTATCGATTTGTATATAAATTAGTTTATCAAAATTCACATTGTTCATGATTTAACTGGAAACAAATCACTCTATATTAGTGCATCCACACAAAAACATGTTATTTTTAATCTAACTTGGATGCTGGTGTGAAGAAATAAGATTCTTAAGGAGAAAAAAGGGAAAATTATATCAATATAACGAACATAATTAGTGGATAGTGAGGACATGACGTCACAGACTCATGAGTGAGTTGCCAATTTGTCTAGTGATTTTCAAAGTTTTTAATGTCATTAAAAATTCATAACTTTTTTATTAGTAATCCATTTTGCTACGACTTTCTTTTGATTGGTTAGTCTGATTTTTCTGCTTCTATTGAAAGTAAATGATTTTTGGAGTGGACTTGGGCTTTAAGAGTAAGATCGGTGCCCCTCCCCATATCATTCCAAAATGCACTCACCTTCACGGTCGATTTTACCGTCCTTATTGGCGTCGGCTTTCTGGATGATTGCTTTGATTTTCTTCCTCTTCATCGGTGGTTTGCTTGCTGACAACGCTTCACGCAGCTCTTGAGGACTGCAAGCAAATAATTAACAAATAGCAAATATATTGAGCTCACTTTCTCCAAATTTGGATTATTCCATTGAAGTCCATCGAATATTCTTTTCAATGTATTGAATATTGATCCAGCATAGAGGTGCTAAATCTCATCTCGACCATACCATAAAGAAAATAAAAAATATGGTAATTTATCTACTCTTGTACAAGCATAACAAGCACATTAATCATCTCCATCCGTCTGGACAATCACGACCCGGGTACAGACTGAAAACACAAACTATCCAGACATTTTTTTTATCCCGTGATACAAATTTACTGATACCCGCATAATTGTCATCCCTAAAACACCTATTCTGTTTGCACTATCCTATAGGGTATGTTCTCTCAGGTGGTAGATCGTAGTTTTCCTTGGAGCTAGTATTGTCTGGTTGATAGTTTATGCGGGGTTCAGGGGGCGAAGCCCCCGAAAGATCAGGGGTTTTATGCATTTAATTATGTTCAGATGAGCATATTTTAATACCTTAATCATTTGTGACGCTGGCAGGTCACTAATTGGCAGGGTCCAGGGGGCTGAGCCCCATGAAGCTCAGGGGTTTTAGACATTTAATTACGGTCAGATGAGCATACAGGGGCCCGCTTTAGGGGCCTTGGTGGGGTTCAGAGCCCTCTGAAGCTCAGGGGGTTCGAGGTATTTAATTACGGTCAGTTGAGAATCCAGGGGCCCGCCTTAAAGCTGTTGGTGGGGTCCAGGGTGGTAAGCCCCTGGAAGCTCAGGAGTTTTAGGTATTTAATTACGTCAGATCAGCATATTTTGATATATTTATTATTTGTGACACTGGCAGGTCACTAATTGGCGGGAGGAGGGGGGGGGGTCCAGATGAGCATCCTGGGGCCCGCCTTAGGGCCCGTCGTGGGGTCCAGGGGGCCGAGACCCCGTAAGCTCAGAGGTTTTAGGCATTTAAATACGGTCAGATGAGCATCCAAGGGCCCGCTTTAGGGACCTTGGTGGGGTTCAGGGCCCCCTGAAGGTCAGATGACCATATTTTGATGCCTCATTTTGTGACACTGGCAGGTCACTAATTGGCGGGGGTCCAGATGAGAACTGGACGTTGAGATGAGCATCCAGGGGCCTGCCTTTGGGCCCTTGGTGAGGTCCAGGGGGCGGAGCCCTCATAAGCTCAGTGGTTTCAGGCATTTAATTACGGTCAGATGAGAATATTTTGATGCCTCATTTTGTGACACTGGCAGGTCACTCATTCTTTTTTCTTTGTTTCTTTCTTATTCTCTTTAACATACTTTTTCAAAAGAGGTTAGGGGAGGGTTCGTGCCCCCGAGCCCCACCGTCCTGCAGGCCCAGACATGAAGGCTTCTAAATGAGCATAAATTTTGCTTGGTTGTAAATTATCATCATTCAAAAAACGCATAAAAAGTATAATTTCATATTTAAAAAATGAGAAATAAATCCCGGAAAATCATGTCATTTCAGCAACATGTGTAAATCACTGGTATCGAATTATAAACAAACCTTATTTACCCCCATCAGTACGCCAGTGCTCAGGGGCTCATGTCTTCTCACCCCATACTAAAAAACACACACGCTTTCCCATCCTCTTACAATTTTTTTCACGACATCCGCGTATCGCTTTTATCAAATCCTCAATTGATAAATATAGGGGCATGCGGAATGTTTAGAAAATTTAATTCCTGTTTACTCTCATTTTCTTTGAATGGAATATAATTTTGTATGTGATGCAATTCAGGCTTTATTAATTTTTATTTTATTTTTGGTTAAAAAATACAAACCATTTTTACTCTGGGGGGGGGGGGGATGGTGTGGGGCAAAAATGCGTTTCGCCCCCCCCCCACTTTTTCGCCCCCTGCCCCCACTTCCAACGCCCCTGCTACTCTATCACTGTCCAACTTACCTGAGGGATCCGTTGCCATCCTTGTCCATGTCGTCGAAAGCTTTGGTGTAATGTTCTTCTTTCCAGGTCCACTTCACCATTTGCTCTGCAATCCCCATCAACATCTCAGAAAAGTCTATAGTTCCGCTTTCTAGCCGAATGAAGAAAAACAGGCTTTTTAGTTCTCACACAAGTCCTTTTCGAATAGTGATTCATCTTGCATTCTTACTGCTCGATTCGATAATTCACTTAAATAAATGCCTAATGAATTTAGACATCTTAAGGTAATAACAAGTAAACACTTTTATGTTAAAATAAAGAGAGAGAGAGAGAGAGAGCAATCTCTGACCTTTTTTTCGTTAACAAAAAAATGAGTATGATTTGAGTGATACTGAATTGTGTAAAGTACGAACAGTTATGACCAATAAAAGTATTGAAACAAAAACACTAAAGTTCCAGTTTAAAGTTCTGCATAATATTCTGTTCTTTAATTAAAGACTTTTCAAAATGAAAAAAAAGCCTTCTCCAGAATGTACGTTTGGCTGCAAAAATTCAGAAACTTTAAAACATGTGCAATTGCAATGTAGCTATGATCAGACGTTTTGTTGTCCCTGTTTGACTCATCTTTCCTGGATGAAATATCACAGTTATAGTGGGACATTTAGAAAAGCACCCACACAGTATAATAATTAATCACATTTTAATAATAGCAAAACGATGTAGGCCTATTTACCTGTGCATAAACAAGCCAAGCATGTCTTAAAAGGATGCATTTTACTTTGTATAAAGAAGAACAATGTATTGACAAAAAGGCAAGCTCTCATTTCACCATAGAAAATAAAATTGTGTACTACACTTTTTTTTTATTTTAATTGATTTTACCTTTTACTACAATTATTGTTGACCTGATGACCTCTTTTATAATACGTTATAAACAGACGTTCAAGCTAGATATTGATTATATTTGACATCAATTATGTAAAAGATTTAAAAGTATTCTCGAGTCCACGGCATATGTTCTGTAAACTGAAAAGCATCAATTAAACATCTTTGACATATTGTTTAAAAATCACTTAAAGATATCCCCTTTTCAGGGGAAAAATTCTGGCTGCTTCCTGTCGTGCGACGAACTCTAACACGAAATGAACAGCCCGTTTTAAAATCACAGAATTCATTGTTAACATGTTAAACTTTTTTTACGGATTTTGCAACCAATATTAAATAAAACTAGGCTTCAAGTCATAGATTATTAAACTTCAATTTACGTGTTGTGGTCAGATTTTAATCAACTCTTATTTTCTTAGTCTTCACTATAAACTCACCATCTGTATCAACATCACTGATCATTTTGTCAATCTGTTTATCAGTATAGCTCTTTCCAGTTAATTTAAAAAACTCGCCCAACTCCTCTGCTGTGATGGACTTATTCTTATCCGTGTCTTTGTTTTTGAACCGTCTCTCGAATTCTACAAAGAGGTGATAACAAATAAATGTATGGTGTCAGTAAGGAGCAGGAGATGTTTGTAGGAAACATCGAGTAATATACATAATATATTTTGTATAAACTAGTGAAAAACTGGCAATTACGAAATGAAAACAAATACTTTTACATGACTAGAAATTGTTGGATGGAATAAGAATTCGTTTTCATAATTAGGCATATTTTGCTTGATTTCTTCAGTATTGCAATCATCAAAAAGCAAGCAGACGTGATGGCTCAGTGGTAGAGCAGTGGTCTCATAACTGGGAGGTCCCGTGTTCAAAACCAAGTCGCATCGCTGGTGCCTTTTGGTAAGGCATTAATCCACATTACCCAGTCCCTCGGAGGGGATTGAAAGCCGTCGATCATGTGGTTGATATACTTACAAGGCTACAAGCACACAAATGCTTTCTTAGCAGTCAGGTAAAACAAACAAACCAACCAACTAATACCCTCTCATGTTAACGAGAGTTATTTTCACATCTTTAGTGATTTTCTTTTCTTTTGATGCTCTACTGCAATACTAGTATCATGTTTAAAATTGTTTTATAATACCCTCTTGTCATAGATTTGGTCTCCCACTTTAAACATTGAAACATTAAGACTTTGTTTCTCGTACCTGTTATTTCCTCATCGGTAAATAATAATTGGGCTGCCTGTAATGAAAAAGAAATAAACGAAATTAAAAGAACAATATTAGCGATGAGGGATCTACATTGTGAAATGTAGTATTTCGCTTCATTGACTTATTATACACCAACAAAAAAGGGCAATTTCTGGAGACAAAATGGGTCCCCTCAAAGCGAAAATATACAAATTTTATACATGGGTAGGCCCTTATACCCCTAAATTGTGATTAGATTATCAGGGATGATTTCATTGCTGGTTTCTTTCTTTACATGGTCCAAGATAATAAGCATAATACTTTGCAGTTGGGTGTGATTGTCGGAATATTTATTCGCGACCGAGTGAAACGAACTAGGAAAAAATTAAGATTTGTGGGGCCGCAGTGCGAAAAATGACATCTTATAAAGAGGAAAAAAACAATCCTGATCATGAATAATAACAATAACAAAATTTATAATGCGCACATATCCACCCCAAGAGATGCTCAAGGCGCCTAACAGGGTAAGTACATTAAACATATGAAAGTACATGAGAGAAGTTACAGAGAACGAAAATATTGAAACATAATTAAATGTAATTAAACAACGTTAATTACATCAGATTGTGAAATACTAAACGTCTTAACTAGGGAATTCAGACATAAGATAGGTTTTCAAGTTGCATAAACCGGAGTGCAGCAGCTATTAAAGCTCTGTCACCCCAACTCCTCTTTGTTTTTAATTGTATTAAATTTGTTGAATTGAAGGAACGAAGACCTGCACGAGAACTTGAAGAGATATTGAAAAGAGAGGAAACATATTATGCAGGGACAAATCCTGAAACGATCATTGATAAGAATTTTTTTTTTATTAACATAAAATGCGAGGGAGCGCAGCGAGCGAGCTTTGTGTAAAACTGAAGAAAAAGTTGCTCTTAGTCGCTTTAAATTACGAGCACATTTTATGGTAAAAGGAAAAAGGGTCACATATCCAAAGTTAAAAGGACACTTATTAGAAAAGAAAAGGAGCACGTGTCAAGGTAAAAATCGGAATTAGCATAGGTAATAATGGGACACTACTCGCACCTCCCAAGAGGCACTCACCAGAAATTTTAAAAGGCAAATATTACAAAGGAAAAGGGGCAATTATCAGAAGGAAAATGGCACTAATTAGAAATCATAGAAGCACGCGTCATGATAAAAGAGGCTCTTATAAAAGATAAAAAGGGGCACTTAATACAAAGTTAAAGGAGCACCTCTCAAATATTAATAAAGGCACTCACTGGAAATGAAAAGAGGCACTTTAAACTGTCAAAATAAAGGGGATACCTCTCAGATTTGAAAAAAGGCAACTATAAGAGGTGAAGGGGTACTTATCAGAGGTGGTGAGGAGCATTTTTTGTACCTGAAAAGGGGCACCTGTGAGATTTTAATGGAGGCATTTATCATACGTGTGAAAAAGGGGCATACTTCGGAAGCTATGCCGACATGCTTGACGATGCCTCCGTGTTTTAACTTCTCGAGCCCCCCGAGCCCTGCTGTTCCGCGGGCCCTGATACATATAATAATACAGAACAATCCATTTGATTTTTAGAATGTCATGTTGGAATACCTCCATAAAAAATACCGGATATTATAGCTTCATTACTTTGCCGATACCACATTGTTGTTAGCCAGTAGTTATTCTCAGTGGCGGATCCAGGGGGGGGGGGGGGCGGGGGCCTGGGCTGGGCCCCCCCCCCTTGAGAAAAAAATCATGTAAAATCACGTGATTTTTACCCCTGGCGCTCAAGGAGGGGGGGGGTGCAAATGATTTTTTTTTCCGAGGACCAACAAAAAATATGTGCTCACTACCCCCCCCCCCCCCGCCCCCCACTGAGCGAATTTTCGACCGGCGCGATTTTCAAATTTTCAGGAGCAAAAAAAAAAAAGTTGAGCCCCCTCCCCTAAGAAATCCTGGATCCGCGCCTGGTTATTCTTTATCCAGTCAGTATAACGCTGTTCGTCTAGGATTAAGACGCTAAGGAATGGTTTCAAGAGTATACTACACAAACCTGAACCATTGCATAATTATAGTGTTTTTTTTTTCTCTCTCTCTCTCTCTCTCTCTCTGTTAATCATGCATCATCAACTACATAGAAAAAAGGATGGGGTTGTCTGGGATAGCCTCGTTCAGTAGCAGGGGTGATAGTGAGAGTTAAATTATAAGGCAAAATTAATGAAGTGTTTCTCGTCCGCGCCCGCCTCCTTACTGGCCGCCACCTCCTTTAAAAAAAACTTATTTACTATTCAGAGAAAGAAAAAAAGAAAAAAAAAAAGCCGGTGATATAAATTTTAAAATTTAAAATAGCTTCTTAAGAGATACAAATCATTTGTTTTGTCATTATTTGCATTAGTATACTCATATAGCACAATATCTGTGAATAGGCTTGGCCAGCTATAATTAGCACGGCACGGAAAATAGCAAAATACATGTAGTAAATAGTAATGCCTGACGTTATTTTTGTTATAAGGCCTAACAGGTTTTTAGATATCCGAGCGCTTGCGCGAGGTGTTCAAACAAGTCGTGAAAAAACGGCACTTCACACCCCCCCCCCCCTTCTCATTTTAAACTGGATTTACATCGATTTCAGGGACTATCCATTTATTTATTTTTTTAATCGGCAAATTATCAGGCTAGAGTAGAAGAAAGCATCGGATGGATTATAAATACACAACGATGGAGAAAAAAAAGCTTCGGAACGCTGAGGCCCGAATTCACAAAGGAGGTTTGTCGACAAACCTCCTTTGTGAATTCGGGCCACTATGTTTAAGTGAAAACCCAAACTTGCTTTCACTATATTGCAGCAGTGATCGTTGACCAGATCAGTTTTGCCCAACGTATCAACAACCAATGTATGCTACTGGATCCACAGACAAGCCATTATGCCTAAGTAATAGGTGAATAGAATGACCAGTGTTTCGAGAGAGAAATATGACTAAATGAAATTTGATAAACAGGTGTATTAATACCTCCTAATTATTGTAGCTCTAAATTGTACAGACGACAGCGGCACATTTCAGGAAGGGAAACAAAATTAAATCATGATTTAACAACTTACCATCTTTGGAAGTTGGGATAGATCCGGCAAAATTGAAGATAGAAAATTTCTCTGGAGCTCAGGTACCTATACTTCTCTTCTAGTCGACTTGCTTTCAAGGAGTGGTAAGGGTGGAGTGCTGACGAAGAGTATTATTCAAGAAAGAGTGATAACTCCTGAAATAAAGCACGTGACCATACGCTAGGAATGTCGTTGCTGATGTTTAAGGCGTATTAGGCGTAGTGTGGGGTTGCAGTTCTAACAAATATACCAGTTCGTAGATACAATCTGAGCATGCGCGGATTGATCTGTGCATGCGCAGATAAAGGTCACTTGAACAAAATTGTAAAACCCACTGAGACTAATTCTGGATATATGCTCACGAAAGTTATGTAATCATTATTCATGCATGCACCTGTGAGCACGGCGGCTTTTGCTTTGCCGGTGTGACCGAGCTATAATTATACAAATTTCGGAAATTTTCGGAAACTGTCAATAATTAGATGAGAAAATCATGATGATGAAAACCTTACATTCGCTCCAACTCATGATTTCCTTGGTCGATTTTGCTGGTTGAAATGGTTTCGTCTTCAGTAGAGCTATCCGAGCACGAAAAAAGCATTTGATAACCAAAATAAAGTTTCATTGGTCATAATGTCGGGAATTCTGTATTTTATATGTTATAGCTAAATACATCTTCACTGAACATGACCTAATTTTTCGGTGCCACGCATGTCTTCAAAGCTCGACGGATGCCTGCATATTTAATTTTTACGACGAGTGAATAGAGAACTTCGGGAAGCAGACGGCGTTGCGTAACATTTCGTAATATTTGGGATACTAGAGGGGGAACTGTGCATTGATAAGGACAGCTGTAGATGGATTTGATGGCTGGAAAGGGTTACATTTCTTTTTGTTAAGCCAAGGTAATCTTGAATATCTTTTCCTCGGGAAATTCTTTCGAGACGGAGTCTCCATTCATTAGAGCTTCCTGGTTGGATTTATCTATGTTTAAAAGATATGTGGATATTTGGGGTCATATGACCCATGTGCTAACTACGAATTGGTCTATTCCTAGCACTCTTAAGTACACAGAGGCAGCCCAGCAGACATGTTGTAAGACTGATAACTACTGGCTAACTGACCAGGTTTTAATGTATAAAAGCATTACTGCATTCTGTGTAGCATTCCCCATACATTCCATGCAAAGTAAAAGAAACAAATTAATATTCATAAAATCACATACAAGTATTAAATCAACATCGAAAATTATCTTGAATATTCAAACATAAACAAAGGGTATAGCTAGACTGCATCAGGTGAACATTGAATACAATCAGAGAGAGAGAGAGAGAGAGAGATAGATATATGAAAGGATGGTGGATGAAAAGGGTGAATGTGAATGAGGTATGACCTATTAGTATGAAAGGGATGAATCATGGATATGAAGGGGAGTTTAAGAGTTCAAAACAAATCCCTACAAACTAGTCTTCCTCTTACAAATAAAATGTCCTCATTTTATAAGGCATTGTCTTTTCTTTGATTACCTAAATACATAAGACATTAGATATCTATCGATATGATCTACACGTATCCTATCCTTTCCTCTTGTAAATAGAAAATCACTATTAATATATCCTTTTTTTTTCTTCAAAAAAATATCAAATCCTCACTACCTGTAAGCATATATGTATACAATTTTACAAAACAAATGAGTTTCACCTGTATATAAATGAAGTATGACTTATGACTCAAATGTACAGAGTATTAGCATAGCATACATCATGTTTGTTATGCTAATACTCTGTACATTTGGAAAAAAATCTGTAAAACACACATGGTTTTATATATATATATATATATATGAGCTTTCTCGCTTCTAATCTGTTTCACTTTTATCTCGGGCAAACATTTCCGGATTTCAATGGTAAAATCAAACAACTATAAATACAGTGTATTTGCCTTTCCAAAAA